GAGTTAAGCTCCAGTGTTTCAGAATTGGTGAAACTATTTCTTTCTCTATATTTGGTTATAATTTTGTTTTGAAGGGCATAAGAGTTAAGGCATCCTAGAATAAAAATCATGTCTGACGCCATAATGTCACTTTGTAGCTAGAGGGAACATTCCTGCTGTCGCTAAAATACCGTGGATGTAGCCAATTGAACAAAAATGGTACTATCTAAACAAACTCAACACACAATGGCTAGTTCCTAACTTCAGTGGTTCAGCAGACCAACTGTGCTCCAGACAATGCTGAGTTTGTTTAAAGTGTAATACATTTAGTTGTGCATGCTTATATATGAGTTATTGTAAAGTTGCTTCAGGCTAAATTCTTTCCTGCTGCAACACCACTGAAATGAGTATATTTAGAGCAGAGATTAATTTGGCCCATTATGTACTAAACTTTCTTTAAAAAAGAACTATTCTTTCTGCAATTGATCTTGTTCACTGCAGTCATCTAAACACAAAGAGAGTCTTATCTGTGTTACCCCAGTGTAGTGGAGTTATACTGGATTTACGTTGTTTCAACTGAGAGAATTCTTTCAGCTGAAAATAAAGACAGCTGCCCAAATTACATGCAGATCATTGCACTTCTCTTATACACCAAAAAACTTGTAATGCACATTTCAATGTCATGCATGACTTGCTGTAGCAGCTGTAGGGAAGAGGAATTCCTGATGTACAAAACTTTGTTATAAAGTTAGGTCATGGCTTTAGCTGTAAAAGATTTCAACATCTAAGCAAATACATAAGCTTTTCCATTATGCATGGATGGCAAGCAACTTACAGGCAGCAATGAAATTATTTTCCCATCTGGATCATCTACAGAGATGGCACTTCAGCATTCTGGGTATGAAAGCTTGGAACTCAAGGATGAAGGAATAAGATTCAAAATAACAACTAGGTGGTTGTTATTCAAAATAACAACTGCGAGGTAATTTTAAAATAATCTAAAATAGAAAAAAAAAAAAGAACTAAATATCAGAATGACATGTTGCTTCCAAAATTATCATCTCTTTGTTTTTCTAATCCAAAATGTTTTAAAGGAAATGTCTCAGGGTTTGTTTCATGAAGAATATGTGAACATATATTGTATTCTAATTTGAAATCCCAGGATCCCTTGTGAAATAGAAATTTTGAATGTCGTCTGACCTTAGTGTCAACACTCATTTTGCAATGAAGAGCTTTTATGTCACAGACCAGGCCAACAAAAGCAGGGACAGTGCTGAGACCCCCAGACATTTGAGTTTCCATAGCAGGGAAGCAACGCAAAATGATGGACAATGCCAGAGCTGTTGATGCACATTTTATGGTTTTATCTTACACAGGAAGACAAGAATTTCTTCCTAGTCTTGAGGAAATTCTGAACCTTAATTAAGCCACACAGCTTGGATGAACCAGGAGCAACCTGTGCCACCAATTTATTCTGAAGGAGTGATGTTGCTTGCCGTGAGGAGAATGGCATGGAGGCGGCCAACAGGCAGACACTTGCTGCTCTACCTACTGCCACAGATACACTGAGAAGAGGGTCCACCTGTGTAAACAATATAGACTTAAACAATAAAGACAACAAAAAGATCTTTTGAAAATATATCCCAAAAGTTAGACACATAATTCTCATGCAGGCCACAGCAAGAGGCTGTGCAGACTGCATCCTTCTCCATGCAGCAAAATCCCAAAACACTGCAGGCACTAGTACAACCACATTCACACACAAACGTAAATGCGGGCATTATCTTGTAGGTTCCTGGCCAAGAATTCTGCTCTCAAAGCACTGGGCTTTATCATTTTAATTGAGTAGAGAGTTTAAATGACTACAGGATATAGAAAAGACAGAAAATCAGCCATGTGTGTTTCTAGTACCCCAGCCAGGCTGACTTTGCTGTAGACTTTTCTCTAATGATAAGAAGATTCTTTCCCCTCAGAGTATCTATAATCCAAACATGATAAGTTTGCTTAGGTAAAACATCCTTAGCTGCTTACTTCTGCATTTTGTGCAGAATTTACATAGCAAACCCCACTACATAAGACATGCAAAGCAAACAGTAGGTTGCTCTGTGAGGCAGGATAGTTCAACCATAATTATCCCTTAGTCTCTGCTCAGAATACCACAACATTCCTTAAAGTCAAAATCTTTAGAAAGTTTAATCTTCTCAAACAGGGAAGTGAGATATATGTTAGTTGATAACTGTTTGCTCTCCCTTTTTAGTTTTCATTTAATTAAGGAGAATAGAAATACAATTCATATTCTCATGTGGAAAATAAGCATTTATTTTACTTTACTCCATCAATTCACTGACTTTGCAAACACAAGAAAAATATATCCCAATGAAAAATGTGTTGTTTTTTTGAGAGTTTTACCTTGTGAAGCCCTTTGTATTTTAAAAAATATCCTCTATATAGTACAGGAACTCTTTAAAAAGCCATGTCTCATACTACTTAGAAATGCAAAGGTCTGGACATTTTAATAGACTTTATCATGCTTTCATGGGACAAATAAATAAAGAGGATAAAGAACTGCAGATATTCATTCTTTTTTTTTTTTTTTCCCCCTCAGGAGACAATCTCTAAAATGACAGGGATGTGGCTGACAAAAGGTACCTACCACACATAGGTTAGAGCTGGCTACATTAGTGATGCAAACACAGCAAGCCTGGGCAGCTCTTTGTGATCTTGGTGTTAGTCTGCTCATTGCCACTCTCCGTGACACCAGGCACCTCAACCACATCTGTAGTCACTGCTGGAAGTGCAGAGGGTCACCCTTAAACACAAGGTATGGCAAAAGCCCATGTATTGAATGTCCCTTTCTAAGGACTAAAATAGTTCTGACAGATACTGTACTATAGCTAGTCACTCAAAGATACACAGATTGCATACCACAAGAAAAAGGAAAGGAAGTAACTACCCATGAAGGACAGCATTTTGTTGCTATTTACTACTAATCTCTCTTTAAAAACAAAAAAACCTTATACAGTGAAGAACAGCTGGTGCAATCCAACTGTCCTACTAATGCAGTAACGGTAATTAATTACACCTGTAATTCTGGCTTAATATCACGTACCCGTAAGAGCTAAAATGTGTATTTCCTCAAACACTCTGTTTTCCTGGACTACGACACAAAAACACAGACCATTTTCATGAGAAGGTTCTCTCTTCAGTTTTGTGATTTTGGGTAAGCATCTGCTTACTCTATTGTCTGCTGAAAATAGACACAAAAACAGTTAGACTTGATGTACATCCACTTGCCAAAAGTGATCAAAATGTCAGACCTATTAAGACCTGACTAGCTGAATCTGTTTCCTTGGAAGGTAATATGTATTACCTTCATTCCTATTCCAGCTAAAGAGTGGGAAAGCACGATGAGGTCAGTTAAATCCCATTTTTAGTCACAGTGAAAATGCTTGCTTAAGCCCAGGTGATTAATCCTGTGCCAAATCCCCAGGGACAGCAGTACAAGAGTGCATGGAATGCTCCTCATTTGGTGTTCAGCACAACTGTTCAGAGACTTACTGGAGCAGGTTAGGGTTCCCCCCAGTACACCTATTCTCATTACCATCAGGAATTTCAGGGTGCCATGACACAGCTATGGATAAGGGGGGCATACCTTTCAGCCTTCCTCCACAAGCTCACATGAAGCCACGTTGCTCAGTGTGGCAGCAAAAGCTACCCGCACCATCACACAGACCTTCAGAGACCAAGAGTAGCAACATTCCTACCTCATACTCCAGCCAGAAATTCTTTAGAGACAGTGGATGCAAGGTGACAGCAGCGTGGCTGTGTCCCAAGGGAGGGAGAGTGCAGGACTGAGCTGTGTCTGCACCAGCTGATGCTCTCAGCTCCCTTGGGAGTACTCTGACTGTTCTTCAAGTGACAAAACTGTGGAACATGCATCTAAACACAAAGCACGCAAGATACGTTTGTAACAAAAAGTGCTCTTGGTCAAAGGCAAGTGAGTTTTCTTCAGCAATACAGCTGGTATATCACTTCATGCACTTTCTTCCCTAGCTTATTACTTGCTTTACCCCTGCCAGTCATGAGAGATGATGAACAATCTGGTTTACCATATGGATACATCATGTAAAGCAGAAAGAGCATTGCCTGAGCACAGGGGGCACCAAAAATATCTTGACAGTACTCACATGAGAAAGAAGCACTTAGGCAGAAACTATCCTGACCTGCCAGGTCCATAAAAGTGCTGCATATAAAATAAAGTTTTACAAAGCCTTCATACTTAACACTTCTGGAATCGTTACTTAGTCTTGCCCACGTTGCTGCTTTTCAAAAGTAAAACTCCTCGGAAACCTGGACCTGGCCTTTTCACAGGACTACACAATGTTTAGCCTAACTCACCTTTAGTACATGGTACAATTTCAGTACAAAATTGGGTTACACTTTTGTGTGCTTAACTATGAACTTTCCTACAAAGGGCAAATCAGCAAATTTCAAATGCAGTGAATACCCCACATTATCCCCAGTAAGGACACATTTTCCTTTCACTGAAATCCTTCATGCATTTTCAATTAACAGTCTCATGACATATCAGCTAGATGGATAGATTAAAGTTAGTGACTCAGCAGTGGGGAAAAGATAGGAGTCACTATCAACACCGCACCACGAGATGAACGGGGATTCCTGTGTCAAAGTAAGAGCCAAGGGTGAAACCTGTATTTGGCAGAAGGTAGAAGGTAGCATTTCACCCTTTGCTCAAGTGGGTCTTGATCACACAGTTCTTCTGGATGGTGAACTTCCTCTGAAGCCACTGGGAGAGACAGGTCTCCACTGCATGGAGACAGGTTTCAGCATCCAGTTTTGCAACAGATGCAATTCAGTGAGCGCTTCATATAACGAAGGAAAGCAGCAGTGTAAGTGAATAAATGGAGGGAACTAACTGTTCCATTGTGTTAGCATTTTAAAAGACCATCTACACAACCATGAAAATTTAATCTAAAAGAGACAATGCTGTGGTACAAAAAGTTTATTTAGTCACAATTTTGTAAACATATGAGGTAAATTAACGTTTACATCAACTTGCTTCTTACAGAATTTAATATACAAGGCACTTTGTTGAAGACAGCACTTTTAACTGTTTGCTGGTTTTATTGTTCTACAAGTTCCTGACAGCCCAGAAAACTTGTTATGTTTACTGTCATGTAAAAGGTAAACATCTGGAAAGCGACAAGAAAGTTCTGAGTAAGCCTTCTTATGCTTTACAACCCATTAACTGTGAGAAACAGTGGCAATGGGATTAGCAGTATATTCTCCACCTTAAAATATGCTCACATAACTCTTCAAGAACTGAAACTTCTAGAACTACATTGGTATCTACAGCAAACTTAAAATGCAAATCTACAATTTCTTTTTCACATCAGTATTTTTTGCTTATGCAAATAGTCTCATTACCTTTAATGGTCTTATTTGCAGAAGTTAAAATAACTTGCATGAAATTGTATTTGCAGGTTCAGAACCATATTTTTGCATAGAAAGCAAAACATTTATTTTTTGTAAAATCTTCTACAGTGTAACAGTGCAGTGTTTATCCTCAAGTATTTTGTTTGGAATTTTAAGCCAGGTTGTAAATTTAGCTCTTAAAGGACCTATGTCACAGCTAGTTTTTGTCATTGAACCTCTAAACACACAGGAAGCCATATGAACAATAATGAACCTTATTTTATTTGGTAATAATTGAGTTCATGATGAAAAGTATCTTTTTCCATAGTTTGCTCCCTATATATCCAACTCCCATATTTCAAATATAAAGAGAAAGCTGATACTATAGATCAATGATCAGGTTAAACTGTCTTTAATGGTACTGCCTTATGTCTAAAGAGTTCCTGTGTTATAGTAAGACATTTCTCTCTTAAGTTTAACACATTGGCAGAGTCATTCTTTTACTTATTATACAAATGTAAACTTAGAAAGCAGTTTATTTCATCCAAATGTGCAATCTGAAATCAAAAACTGAATGTAAACTTCAGAAAAATCAAAATTACAGGAGCACACTTTTCACAAGAAAAATCAAAGTAAAACATGGAATTAAAGAAAAAAACCCAGCCTGTTCAAATCCATGGTGTTAGTGTCTGTATTAAACAAAAAGACCTGGGGGCTCAATGCTCTGCTTTTGCAGACTGCTGTCACCCACATGAACTCAGTGGAATACAACAGTTTGTAGCAGCTGAGGAGGTGGTCCCATGACTAACCAAAAAAGGACCTAAGTACTGATCTGGTTTTTAAAGCTTGCTTTAATTATTTCACTGATCCTACACTTATGTATTCGTATCAGAAAATAATCTCAAGAGCTGAAAAATGTCAGACATTTATTAGCTCTGAGTGCCTTGATGTATGACAAATATACTACACCTGGTAACTTGTTCAAAGAGTATTTTCTTTCAGTTTTCTTTCCATACTTCACCTCAGTATATTTTTTAACTTCAAGTAAGAGAGAGAATAAGTTTCCCCACAATTATTCTACTCAAAGAGCAAAAATGAGTGGGTTTTTTTTCAGTTTGCTTAATATCAGGCATGATTCTGTTCTGACTTCTGCTTTTGCAATAACTTACCTAAAGGTTTCATCTTAGCTGTGCATCTAAGGTCTTTCCGGATTTTGGATTGAACAGTCGTATGACCGGGCTAAATCAAAATATCACTTTCTACCAGTTCCCATGAGACTCTGTAATTAATTGATGTAAAAGAGTAAATGACTTGGAAACTATCAGATAGTTTTTAACGACAGTCTATTCTGTAAGTTAGTGAGTGTTTGTACATACTTTCTAGAAGGAGGAATTCTCCATAGTTATACTTGACTCATAGGACGTTGAATGCAGTGTTCATTCATGAGTAAAGATTAGAGCGCTCAAAATTTGCCACACCAATAAGATTTTTCTTTCAACAAATCTGAACCCAGATGTGACGCAGCAACTAAAAGCAGTTGTAAGCACTAAGGAGGAGTTCTGCCAAAACAGTTACCTGGGCTTAAATGAAGAAACAGTTACTGGACTCCAAATGAAACTGTAGGTAATGAAGAGGCTTGACGCTGCATAGTTATGTGATGGAACTTAAGCTGATCTTAAAAGCGCAGAGTTATAGCTTTGCTTTCTTAGACCAGTACTGCTCGGATGCAGAGGCTGCTCTCTCAGACTTCTCTTAGGGGTTGCAATAGACTTACATTTCTCCCCCCGAGCTTCACCTAACAGGAAAAATGATCTTTTAGAGCTTTCCAGTAGTTACTCTGACTGAAAATACCTATATTATATACCACAGGACTGAAAATACCATATATTCCACAAAATCATCTGAACTCTCTGCAGGTCTAACCACACACATTTACTTGAAAAGGTCAGACTAGGTATCAGTTGATCCTAAGTTAAATCTATCTCTGTTACTATTTTTTATATACAATATGGATGCAATCCTGCAGGACACACTCTGTGAGGGTTGTATTAAAGTAAGGACTGCAAGATTCAGAGCCCCATCAAACAACAAGTCAGTTTTGCTCTCAGGCACTGATATAAAAAAGCACATATTCCAGGTGGTCTTGTTTATATAAATACACTCCAGAAAGACTTTGACCTCATTCTTCAGAAGCATAGAAGAAAGGCAAATGTAGCCTTCAAATTTTGATGAACTAAAATACAGAGATGCATATTGCATTTTTCAGCAATATAAATAGCTGGCATTTATCAAAACTTACAAAACTGCTACTATAGATGCTAGTAAATCTAAAAATTTGGAGTCTTATATTCTGCCTCTGTTTACATCTAGGCAACTTCATCAGCTTCAGTTTAAGTTCAGCATAGTTGCATGGGTACAACAGAAAGCAGAATTTAGCTTTTAGCTTTCTTGCAGAAAGGGTTTTTATGGCTTATAACACTGAAAATCTATGAGAACATGTCTGAAGCTGAACACCTAATAATAAATACCTGTATTGTACACATTGACTTTTAATGCAGTGTCTGCCCCCAAGATCGTGGGAGCAGAAAGACTTCTCCTCACCTGATTCACCACAAGCAGGACAAGGAAGTCATGAGACAACATGCCCAAGGGTTGCAGAACAGTGCTTCTGATCATAAGAAGCTTTTTTTGACTACTCAGAAAGCAGTAAAAATGTTTAATCTTGAGCAGTAGGAATATATTTTAGCTGTTGAATAAAATGAACACATTCAGGAAAACATATAACAGCAGAAATAACTGGCAATTGTAACTACTAGCTACAGAGTGACCCTGCTTTGCCTGAGTAAGGACTGCACTGCCAGGCCAAATACTTTGAAGATGCAAAGGGCTATCCCAGTGTGTTCTCCAGTTACAGTACTTTCAATTTATAGCAGCAACAGGACTGACTCCAAGCTCCAGTTCTTTTGGATTTTGCTTAGAAAGGAAGTTGGGCCTAATTCTGCATTCCTTTTGTACCGAAACTCTCCCGAGCCTTATCAGGCATTCAGAATTCTGACTAATGTCTTGTTAACAAAGGAATAATGGACAGAGCCCATTGTAAGGAAAGCTGCACCTTAGTAACAAGTACCCAGTACTTTCCTTCACCCATTTTTAAGGGAAACGCACAATTTTCAAAAGCAGGACTTCAATGTCTTTATCTACAGCCCAAAATCTACATTTCTTCTGGCTCCCAAAACTGTATGTGAATGTTAGTTTTGCTTGAATAAGGCCTGCAAGATCCATCCCCAAATCTTGCTCCTTGTAAAATTCAATGGAAATTCTGCAAGTGACTTCAGTGGGATCAGAACAGACTCTTCAGCCACTATGTTGCCCAGATATTTTAGCCACCTTTTCTGCAATACAGTATTATCTAAATCTGTTTTCACTGACATTACAGACTGATGTTAAAGGGTAGGACACAACATGAAATAATGTTGCTTTGGGAATTTTACCATTAGTAAGTTTCTTTCCTCTTACATTTTCTTGTAAGATCAAAGATCAAACTAAAATTATTAAATACACAGTCAAGTAACTTTAAACTTAGAGATCAAAATTATTCTCAAAATGTTCAAATACTTAAAAATATGCACTCAAGTTTATTTCTAAAAAGCATTTTTCCAACAAACTTAAGCTGATATCTAGTAATCTAAAATGCAGAGCTGTACTTTATCCTATTGTTTGTCCACAGGCAATGTATGGGGCCACAGTGTATTGAAATCATAATCCTTGCTTTCTGAAGAGAAATTGTTCTGTGTAATAATTTCTAACGTGTGATTTAAATTCCTGTCCTCCTCTAAGCAATTTCAGAAGTCATCTAAAATTATAATCAAACATGCTCAAACATATTTGCAGGCTTTTAAACATGGTGTGATCATGGTCGGCAAACACTGGATAGAAGGTCAAACTGAACACTTCCTAACAGGTCAAGAGTGAAAAAAAAATTATGGAAAGAACTTCAAAAATCTATCACAGGGGTTACCTAAACTTTGCCTGGCCGAGGACCACATTAGAGTTTTGCAATGAGCACAAAGGCTTCTTTAAGTCATGTTATATGGAACAAACTGAGTCACCTTTAATATGGCAAGTTGGTCTGTAGAGACGACAGGTGCCAACAGACAATTTGCCACCCTGATGTTTGCCATAGGGCTACGTAAGATTTAAGAGGAAGAAAGTGATTCATCACATCTGCTCATGTAGAGCCTGTGTGAGAAAGAGTGGAAGTGAAGGCAAGGGCAAGAGGAATATGACAGCCAGGCACATGGGCACTAGGGATATTAACATTTTTCCCAGATCAAAGTCACCCTTGAGGCACATGGCCAGCTACCATCGGTACCTGCTCTCTGTGCAGGCCTCCTCTATGGCTGCCCTTGGGAGATCTGCCATGGACATGAAGGAAAGTGGGACTGGTCCCCTGGCCCACGGGCTGTGCTTTGGTCACCCCTGACCTATTAGAAAATGTTGATATTTTTCCCCACTACAACTCACAGAGTGCAAAAACAGCAAGCTTCTAAGTTTGAAGCCCAGGCCTTCTCACCCACGCCAGGCCTGGCCTTCCCGGACAGCTCCCCTGCCCACTCTGCCTGCCACCACCTGCCCCTCCAAGCAGGGGCGACCGCACTACACGGCCAGGTCATCTGACCGGGCTCTGCAGCTGCTCGACTTACTGGCCCTGCTCAGGCGCCGCGTGTCTACGAGCAGCGGTGGCTCGTGCATCTCCACAGTGGTGCAGGCGGCCGACACGGGCCGTGCCCCTGACAGCTCCTCCTCGCCCTCCACATCCCACTTGCTGCCGCTCGTCCCGCTCAGGCTGGTGCTGCTGCCACTGTTGGCTGCAGCTACGGGCAGCACGGCTGGGGGTGGGAGTAGCTGCTCCAGTGGCTCTTCCTGCTCGGGAAGGTGATGCCGGACACTGCTCGGGGTAGAAGAGCCCGCTGAGCTGGAGGAAACCTTCCCCTGCTGCTCCGCTGCCATGTTGACCCAGTTCTGCTCGGATGTCAGGGCACGGCTGCTGCTGTTGAAGTAGCTGATGACGGCTGGGGTGGGTGTGGGAATGGGGGTTGGGATGGTGACAGGAGTAGAGATGGGCGTGGGAGTCACAGCACGGTGTCTCTCCTCAGGAACTGGTGGAGCAACAGGGTAGCTTGCCATGGAGGTTGTGTTGGAGGGGGGCCGTGGTCTCGGAGCAGCTGTAGCATAGTATGATGCCATGGTGACTGGGGCCAGCAGTGGTGTGACAGCGCGGGTGTCAGGCAGAACAGGGGGTGGTGCGGCAGTTGTTACCACCACAGGTGGTGCTGGTGGTGGCAGGGAAACAGGTTTGGACTCCCCTGTTACCATAACTGGTGTCATTGTTGCAACAGGCATCTCAAGGATGTACTGGCTTGTCATGCCCTGCTTAAGCTTTTTCCACCCCAAGTGATATATCTCAAGCATGTTCAGCAGCAGGGAGACTGAGGCCACCACCAACATGAAGATTATGAAGATGGTCTTCTCAGTGGGCCTTGAGATGAAGCAGTCGACAGTGTGTGGACAAGGTGAGCGGCTGCACTGGTAGACTGGTTTTAGCTCAAAGCCATACAGGAAGTACTGGCCCACAATGAAGCCCACCTCGAACAGTGTCTTGAATACGATGTTGAAGACATAGGTACGGAGCAAGGCACCCCCCATACGGATTCTACCACGCTCATCACGGATTGGGAGCTTCTCCTTCCCCCTTTTGCTAATAGGATCCTTGATGTTATTGTTGCCTCCTCCACCACCACTGCCAGATGCTGCTGCTGCTACTGCGTAGTTGCCATCTTTGCCGCTTCCCTTCTTTTTCAGCTCTTCTTTCTCTTTCCTCTTCTCCTCCATGCGTACAATGTGCAGGACATGGCCCAGGTAAATGAGGGTTGGAGTGGAGACAAAAATGATCTGCAGGACCCAGAAGCGGATGTGAGAAATGGGGAAGGCTTTGTCATAGCAAACATTTTCACAACCAGGTTGCTGAGTGTTGCATGTAAAGTCTGACTGCTCGTCTCCCCAGACCTCCTCAGCAGCAGCCCCCAGCACCAGTATCCTGAAGATAAACAGTACTGTCAGCCAAACCTTGCCAATAACCGTGGAGTGCTCCTGCGCATTCTCTAATAGTCTCCCCAGAAAGCTCCAGTCACCCATTGTTTCAGATTTCTAACCTACAATAAGAACATCAGAGCAATTAGAGCAATGTTAAAAAATCTTATAATTACACAATGCTGGGGCAGAACAGATTGATCCTTGACAAATGATATTTCTCAAGTGCACTTGCTTTTGCAGAATATTGCAGATGTGCATTAAGAACTAGATAACCCTGTGACCATGCAACCATGGGCTTTGATGAGCACAGAAGTGAGATGTTTAGTGCTTTCACATAGCCCATACAGGTTTAAGTGCCCATGCACAACAGAGAAGAAGGATTCATCAGTTAGAATTTCTACAAGATTTAAATATTTTAAAAAATATTATTTCTCTGTTTCCTCTATCTGAGATGGCTCCAACTGCTCCTGCCTATATTTAGAAAAGAACAGATGGAAACCAGTTCAATTATAGTAATCCTACTATTAATGTAATTGCCCTTGTATTAGAGTGTGATACAAAGTTTGCCTAATTCTAATACTTTTATTGTTATCTGAACTTATATACTCCAGCATTCAGGAAGTTAGTAATGTCCCAGGTCTCTACTATTTTCAAACTGTCCAAACATAGAAAAATAATTACTCAAAACCTACGGAATTTACAGTTTAATTTTGGAATGTGTACAACTCAACAAGCAAGTTCTCAAAGCCTAGTCATGTTTGAATTGTTTATTTCTAAAAAAACCCCCAGAATTATTTTAATAAATTGAAATATTGGGAAAATTGAGAAATTTTGAGAGGAATTGTGTAAAGGTTTCTATGCCATTTTCCCTACTGTCCTGCCAGTTAGTGTTACTAAACCATACCTACTGCAACATCATTAAAAAAAACCACAAGAAAACCAAAACAAAACCCAAGCCAACAAACTCAAGGTCACTTCAGCGACTGTATACAGAGATTTTCTTGGAAAAAAATAAAATTACATCCTATGACCTTACTTCAGTGAAAAACAACAGCATATATTCTCAGTAATTTCCACCAATTCATGTATGGTGGGCCTCCCATGTCCAGTTCTAGGCAGAGACACAATTCCTGATTTGGAAAGGCTTAAAGTACAAGATTTTTTTTTAATATCAGATTCCTCACAAGCTTCCTCCAATTGAGAAACAAGCTATTATCTGTGGGTATCACTTCTGTTATCCTTTGATTGTTCCTAATTGGAATATATGTAAGAATATTGGAATACATGTAAGTATATTTCATTCTCCTAATAAACTCACTTCTATATTTTATATGACAACCTTCAACTGAGAACAAAATAAATTTACTTTCAGCTAACTTCAATACCTTCAGAAATACTTTTATCATAATTGTAATACAGATATAACAATTTGCATATCAAAAAAACACTATCAGAAAAGAGATTATCCTCTTGTTTAAAACCCTCAGAATATTTTATAACTGAATTACACCTTACTATTTTTATACTTCTTATCCAAACACGCAGGTGTCTTACAATTCCCAAGGAAAAAAAAATGGCAGTCATCATTACAGCTAGGAATTTACCATTATTCTCATCATTATATTTAGTGTCATTTCCAGCAATTATGTCACTGGTTTTCCAGAAGAAGCATTTCCAAAGTCTGTATGGAACTTCTTTCAGGCTTTTAGTTAAGACAATTAAAGGAATTAAAGTTATTTGAGGTACTGTTTTATAACTTGGTTTTACTACGAGGCAATGAAATAACTGTAACTGCAGGCTAGTATGCTTTCATACAAAAAGCAATAACACAACCATTAGTATTTTTCATTTTTGTAAATCCTGGAATATTAATTTATTTTTTATCCCACGAAGTTAATTCAGCAAAAAGTCCCCCTAAAAAATACATCTTTGATATTCTGCAAAAACACATCCATCCCCTTTAATATCAGTGAATTCTTTTTCCAGCATAATATGCAGCATTTCCAGTAAATGATGATACCAACAGTAAAACACCAATTTTGTGTACTAATGTCCCTGGTCCTCAAACACTTTTTTAAACAATTTTTTAAATATATTCAAATTCTTTTTGAAGAATGTATTTTTTTCTCCTCCTAAAATAGCAGCCAAAACCGAATATATTTTGTTATAATATTTTTATAATCTTAATATGCTTACATGATTTTTAAATTTAATCTTCATTCCTAATTGTATACAGTTTACAATATTCTGGATGGTTAAGGAATTTTAATCTTGAGAAGCATCAATTTTTAAGGAAATAACGAATTAATTTTTTTGGTTTTTTACTCAAAACCATTTGAAGATATACCCAGGTTAGTTCCAATTTTGAACAGACCTAAACCAGTGTTTGGAAATGTTCTCATTTTGAGTGGGAAAATGCAGGAACAGCAAAATGAATAATGTGATATTGGTGGATTAAAGAAGTTTAGCATAAACTTAAGCTCAGTATTTCCTTTCTCTGCTATTCTTTGCATTACTCTGTGCCTCTCAGATCAATACTCTCTACCCCACTCTTTATTTTTCTATCTAGATCAAACAAAACAGGCAGCTCAGATAATAAATAGTCGAAGTTACGCTTTGTTCTTTTATTGCTAATACCTGTAGTAGAAAGTTTATTAACCATCAAAATGTTAGCCCATTAAATTTTCTTGAATTTATTACTTATGTCCCATTTTCAGCATGACTGCAATTACCCTTGTGTCCAATGGCACAAAGCCCACACACTGTGTTTTATAAAGACCGATATCACCTTCTGTTGCTTGAAAAAATGAAGTTGGTCTGCTCTCATGAAAAATTATAACCCCTGCACTGTAAGGTAAACACAGGTATCAATTTTTTCCCCTTACAGGCACACTGCAGTGCATTTCTTACTCAGATCTATAGGTGATGATGACTACAATGAAAGTAGGATTTTTTGCGCTTTTCTGAAGATTTATCTAGTGATTAGTAGAAGAAGAACAATAACAATTGGTAAAACTTAAAATTTATAAATAATATATTAATCTAATTTATTCTTAATAATTCTCCATTCAGTAATCCTATGCAAGATTTATTTTTTTTCTTTCTACTACAGGTCAACAATGCCTAGGCCGAGATAATTCAGGACACCAAATATATGACACAAGGCATTTCTCAAAGGATACACATAAAAAAGCTATTCTAATGCTTATATTAATTAAAAGATTTATATTTGTGTACCAGAGTGTGCAAATTCATCCTGTACACAAAGTTTCTAAGCTGTGAGCATATACTTCATGGCATCTTAATTGCACTGAGGTGAAAAACCTCAGTGTTCATCTTGGTATGAATTGCAGCAACTGTTGCCTTCGCCACAAATGTGTATTGCTCATAGTACCTCCATAAGGGAAGGACATAATTTCCAAGTGAGACACAAAGTTACATATTTCCACTGGCTGGAGGGTTCCCAGAAATCCAGGTCCCTTATCTTTCTTCAGCGTCGATACATTCTTGAGTAAGCAATTCTTAAAGCCAACATAACTCATCCAAAAATCACACCAAAAATTTAAAAGGATGCCTTAATTCAGATAATGATTAAATGACATCAAATGAAACCACGAGGCCCTCAGAGCTCACAGAATATTTGAGTAAGTTCAACAATACCTAAATCTAAATTTAAACAGCCACAACTCAATATTTTATTTGAGATCAATCCCAAGCTTGCTTTTGTAGTATTACATAAACTTCAGCTGTACAGTGTTACTTTCAGTGCTGCTGAAATCCAGAGCCAGGCAACTGTTAAGACCTAATCTTAAATATGGATTGTGAAAGGAGACATTTTTTCTTTTTGCCCTTGGAAAAAATGCAGATTAAGGAATGAAACATCTTTATCTGTATTTCTTGATGTCCACTAGAGAATGACAAGAGAATCTGTCTCAGAAAGCAACCTAATTCAATTGTATGAAAAGCAAGGACTTCGTGAACCTTGGGATCATTTAATAAGAACTGTGAGTCCTGTATTGTTTGGTTCACTTAGAAAATCATTCCTCTGAGACAAATACTGGAAAATAGACTGTTCATAAAAATTGGCACGGCATTTAAGAATCAATGTTGTGTTATTAATTACTAGTTTAGTACACACACAAATACACTTTGTGTAGGGTGTTTGTGTGCATGTGACAAAGAGAACAAGCAAGAGAGAGAATAAATTTTAGAAGTTGTGATGCCATATATATGTATCCATCTACAGGAGGCAAATACTTATAATGTGTCATCTGTAAACTTGTCAGTTATTTTTATTTCCGATGATGTCACCCAATGGGTTCACCACTCTGTATCAAGTGTGTGAAATATGATATTTTAATTATTTATAATTTTTCTCACACATAGATATGTTTATGTATTTATCTACACATATGCAAAGATTACAAACATAAATAACTGCATGGCTGTGTTACATACATAACCAGATTATGAAACCTGATGTACTTATAATTTATTATATTGGTATATCTAAAAAATGTCCCTTAACAATTATTCAGAAACCTGACAGATGCCCTTGTCTGAATATGAGTTCTTAAATTCAGTCCACGTTTCCTTTAATTTGTCATGACAGTCTAAAATTATGGGATTTAGATTTTTATCTTTAAAATTATCTAAATCTTATGAAGCAGTATGAGAAAAAAATGCTGTTAAAACAACTTGCAATATTTAATTTGTTTTTACACTAAACAATCAGGCATTCCCTTTACTACCAGGTTCTTAATTCTGCTATTTAAATCAGATAAACACAGTCATCCTGCAGAAAGTCTGCAGTATGACCATGTCATTCCAGACAAACTGGCATATATGCAGGCACAGAATGAGCTACTATAATTTCCAGTGAAACCTAATGGTATTTGGTCATGTACCTATATATGAAATGCAATGGTGTTTCATAAGTCACAATGGAGGTTTCGTAGTTCATTTTATAAACTTGTTTAAACGAGGACTTGAAAAATACCTTCTTTCATCCTCACAGTGTCATACTTTCAGACACATCTATTACCACTCTCACTGTATTTTAAACACTTGTTAAAAATTAATTCCTTATTTGATCTTGTTATTATCTTAAACTTACTTTACTGCTATGGAGCCTCCTCCTTAAATCCCAGACAAAAACTTCTTTGGACTTCTTCTTGACTTCACTTGACCTCTGAGTGAAAGTTTGGCCTGAGTAAAGGAAAAGAGCAAGGAGCGCAGGGCTGAGCCCAGGAGGAGAGCTACACCCCACCTGTTAAACTGCTCTGTTCCCTGGTATAACAAACTCCTGCTCTGATTCTCTAATTGCAGGAGAAAAACAGAAACAAAAAAGTAACCCCTTTTCTCCCCTAGAATACTCAAATGCCATCTTAGAGAATTACATCGGAATTAAAAGACAGTGACTTACCAATAAAGCTGAAAGGTGTGGAGGGTGTGGAGCTAGCAGGGGACTGTGGAATAGCCGTTGAGCATGAGGGCAACAGTCCTACATCCCGCGTGAATGAAGCGTGAATGAGACAGATCTCTCAGGTGCCCACATACGATCAGCCACACAGATCTAAAAACTGCACAGTAAGGAGTGTCCCGCCCCCCACCCAGATATACAAAGGAAAGATGAGCCTTTCTGGCATTCAGAGACTCAAGAGCCTTTTTCACTGCAGAGAAGCAGGTACTCCAACATTCAAGTATCCATGTGAGGGGACTTCAGGCAAGTAACTGCAAGGGAGATGGTGCTGTAAACCCCATTCAAACTTCTTAAAGTACACTTTCGTACTATGGAAACCATTTAATTTTTTTTCTAGTTTAAGTCTAAAATGTTCCAGTAGAATTCTCTCATTTCCCTTTAAATTTCCCTTAAAGGGAAGCTCTAATATCTCTGGCTACTCAGTTCAATTCATTCTTCATATCTATGTCATTCTTCATATCTATGTCATTCTTCATATCCATGTATCTATGTCTTAAAGGCCTAACACACTAAGGATTCCTAATAACATTTTAGGCTTATATGATTTCTTCATTGAGTCAGCAATGAACCCAAATACTTTTCTAATACTCTTTTTGCCTACAGGAAAAAAAGAACAGACACAAATTAAACAACCTTTTTTGCTTATAACATTGGCAAACTCTTACTCAATCAAGCTATAAATACCTTCCAAAGAATATTTATTCATCTCAATACTTTGCATCACTTATAAGTCCTAAGTGAAAAAGTGAGTAACCAGCATGTTTGGATAATTCTCAGATCGAAGATGTGACCAGAAGAGTGAGGTAAAAGCCTGGTCAATGCAGGGAGGCCGGCCAGCTCTTTTCCCCACTATCAGTAGAAAGTGTTTTTATGGGCCAGATAACTCAGAGCTCACTTCAAGGAAACCCAGAACCATCTTGGAGTACACTTCTGAACTCCACCATTCTGTGTGGTACCACTTACAAGGGTGAAAGCAATTCTGGCTCTGCTTTATAGTTAAGATTTAACTTTACTCCAAGTACAAAACTGACTTCGAATCCACATCAATGTTCAAATGTGAGTGGTAACCCTTAAGGAAGAAATTACATGACCCTACACAGGCACCCTTTAGCGGGCAACTGCCACAACAATCCCGGATATATTTGGCGTTTTGCTTTCCACTGCATCTCCTTAGGTATTTCGTTAGGTTTGGACACTTCTGCCTGCCTCACCAGGCTGAGTTCCCGCCCCATCTGCGAGCGCCGCTGCCCTCGGTGGGGCAGGAACGGAGGGACACTCGCACCACGGTCCCTCAAGGAGGAATACACAGCAGTAGGGTCTCTTCTCTCGTTCTTCCTCAACAGGATGAGCAGGCTCGGCCCCGCCCTGCCCTCCCCTGGCGCCCAGCCCACGGCTGGGGGGCCCGGCGAGCGGGCAGAGCCCCCTGGGAGCTCCCGCCTCCCGCCCTCAGCGCAGGATCCAAGTGCGCCCGCAGCCGCGGCCCCGCTGGCCGAGCCCCTGTCCGGGGCGGCGGGTCCGCGCCGGGAGTCGAGCGGCACAGCCCAGGGTCGATCTACTTACGCTTCGCGGGAGGAGCACTGCTTTAAGCAGCAAAAGCTCAACTCGTTCGGAAGAGTCCAGGCAGCGATAGCGCATAACTCGTTTAACCGGGGGGAAGAGGCGCCCCCAAAATTTGCTGGGGCTATGGAATAAGCGGGGGGGGGGCGGAGGAGGACTGGGTGCAGGGGCGGGGCGGGAGGCGCCCGGAGGCCGGTGCCCACCTCCCTCCCTGCTGCTGCCCGGGCTGACAACGCGCCCCTCGGGCGGGCGGGAGCGCGGCCGCGGCTGCCCCTCTGACGGGCTGCCCCTCTGACGGGCTGCCCCTCTGACGGGCTGCCCCTCTGACGGGCTGCCCCTCTGACGGGCTGCCCCTCTGACGGGCTGCTCCGCAGGCACCGGGCGCCCGGCCCTCCCCGCCTCTTTCCCTCCCCTCCCCTCCCGCCGCGGGCACGGCCGCCGGCTTCACACGGGCCGCGCCGGCAGCCCCTCTCCTCACCCGGGAGGCTCCGGGCGCAGCAGCCGGCGTGTTCGCCCTTCTCTCCCTGGATTCTAAAACGTTTGTCACTGTGCAGATGATCCATCCCACCCCCGCGGGATTTCCTGCGAAATAAAACAGTTTATTCCTCCCAGAGGATAAAAGCGTGAGAAACCCCTCCCCGCTGGGCTGTCCGCCGGCCCCGCCGGGCTGCGGCGAAGGCAGCGCAGTGGGAGTTATTTCCCGCACGCCCACCGCCGCCCGCTCCCGGCCCGGAGCGCCGTCCAGGGACACAGGACGGCTGCGGCACCGGTGTCAGAGGGCGCCTCGCCCCGGCGGCCGAAGGTACGGTCCTCCGTCAGGTGTTAAAATGACCTGAGAGCAAAAGTGGAAAATAACCCAACCTAAACGACAAAAGATTCTTCACCGAAAGAAGTTGGGTCTTTTTTCGTGAGGAGGCAAACCTCGCAGCTACTGCCTGCGTCTCCTGCATGAAGAACCCAAAAAGATTGCCAGCGAGAAGTGTCTCACTGTACTCACTGTAAAGAATTTCTTCCTAATATCTCATCTAAACCTACCCTCTTTCAGTTTACAACCATTCCCCTTGTCCAGTCACTACATGCCCTTAATAAAAAGTCCCTTTCTGACTTTCTCATAGGCCCCTTTTAGGAACTGGAAGGCTGCTGTACAGTCTCCTTAGAGCCTTCCTCTACAGGCTGAACAGCCCCACAACTCTCTCAGCCTGTCTTCATAGGAGAGGTGCTCCAGCCCTCTAATCATCTTTGCTGCGTCCTCTGGACTCACTCCAGCAGGTCCATGTCCTTCTTATGTTGGCAGCCCCAGAGCTGGATGCAGCACTCAGAGAAGCTGCCCAGAGAAGCTATGGATGCCCCATTCCTGGCAGTGTTCAAGGCTGGGTTGGATGGGGCTTTGAGCAACCTGGTTTAGTGGAAGATGTCTCTGCCCTTGGCAGGGCAGGTTGGAACTAGATCTTTGAGGTCCCTTCCAACCCAAACCATCCTATGATTCTATGAAAGACAGAACAACTTGATTCTATGATAGATAGAATGACTTAAACTTGCACAACTCAACAACTCTTCAGCAGTAATGTATGAATTTCTGTTGATAGCTACTCTACAGCAAAAGAGCTGAAAACTTAGTCATTCCCATGGCTCACTGTTGCTCTATTTAGTAAAAATACCATCCACGAAAAAATTTGACACACTTTGAGGAGCTGTGTGTAACAGCGGACTGTTGAGAAACTGAATCAGACCATCCCCATGTTCTTGTATCCTTCAAATGCTTGATTGCTCCCTATAAATCTTACAGCTGAAGACACTAGGGAGGAAGATCTCTGTGGACCTAAGCACTAGGCTTGGGACAAGAACAAATGACTATTCAGAGATGGGTGATACAGCTGAAGCACAGTGCTCCCACGATTGTAAGTGTAGTAGTACTGCAGTATTGATCCTGAAGCAGTGGGGCATGAGAGGCTGTGTTGGGGTACAGGATGGAATCCCAGCAGCCCCAGTAATTCCTAATATTATAAATTCCTATATTATAACTTCCTTCATGCCGTGAAGTCTCTCAACTCACAAAGTCAGTTGAAGGGCAAGAAGTTTATTTTAGGGAGACAGATCTCTCGTTTTCCACTATCTGTCCAAAATGTTTAATAGCATGAAGCACTGGGTGTTTCTCTGGTGGCTTTTTTCAGTCTCTGGAAGTTTCAAGTGGTATTTCTCACCATCTGTACAAACTGGCCTTGATACCTCTTTTTTAAGAAAGATATTCTTACTCAGGAGAGCAATGAGGTTCTAGAGCAGCCTTTCAGTACTGCCACTGAAGGTTTTTATGATAGAATCCATTGTGTTTCAAATGGGGAGAATCTGATGCAATGCCTGCTTACCATGGGACTACAGCCATTAGCTAACAATTTCTTTTCCAAGAATTCTCTTCTGGCATCATATAAGAAGAGGTTTGGTCTGTCAACAAAACCCTCTGGATCATTTGTGAAAAATAAGATAAGCAAGTATGCAAAATCCACGGGGAAAATTTGAAGGAAGCAAATTCTTTATTTAAAAATAAAGAACAAATTATGTACTGGTGAAAGCCCAAGCATGGAAGCATGTCAAGGTGGTATGGAGGGCTATTTGTTAGTCATATACTAGAAAAGGAGGGTCTATGCTCAGATTTAGTTAATGGTGTTAAAAAGTGTCTCTTTGTGTGGACTTTCTGACAGAAGGATTTCCATGGAAGAGCCATCCTGCTAGCTTCCTCACTTATCTTCAACACTGCCAGCCCTCATTATCTTTAAAAGGTTCCCTCCATTGTCATTAACACTAGACAGCAGCATAAAACTTAGGTGGCATTTAAATTTTTACATTAAAATGCACACTTACAAAATTTTCAGCCTTCGTTTATCACAGAATCACAGAATCATTAGGGTTGGAAAGGACCTCTGAAGATCATCCAGTCCAATCTCCCTGCCAAAGCAGGGTCACCTAGAGCAGATGACACAGGAACACATCCTGGTGGGTTTTCAATGTCTGCAGAGAGGGATTAATTATTTTCTTTACTACCACCTTTGGTCTTGCATCCAAGCCTCCACCCAGGTGACAACCCCTGTCTGTAGACAGACATTTAGCAGTATATGATTTGGCTGGTGGAGAAACAAAGTGAATTCAAGAAGTGTGGAGACAAAGCAGTCAGCCAGGTATTTTTAAGATTAGATGAATCAGATTTTCATGGCAAGGTACATGGAAAGAGCAGAATATACCACCTAAGGAGTCTTTCTGCTGTGCCTTTTGCAACCGGACGTGTCTATCTCGTATTGGCCTTTTTAGCCACCAGCGCGCTTGTAACAAACGTGGGTAGAGCCCTTCCCAAATCTTCGTTCGTGAAGCCCGGCCATGATGATGACATAGAAAGAAGATAAGAAATAGACACAAAGCTTTATGAAATTATAAAAAGATCTCGTAAGTTGCGAGATACGTCTTGCCCTTAATCTGAACCTGAGCTGTTGCTCAACAAGAAAAATGGACTTTTTCAGATCAGGATTGTTCCAAAACAGTGTTTCCCCCATGCTATTTCTAATTTAAACATCTATATTGAAGTACAGAAGAGGGTCACTCTTACCGTAACTGTGCATCTGAACACAGTTTAGTGGAAAGAGCCCTCAGCTGTGGTACATGTCATCAGTCATAAGCAAGCCACGCCAAAGCGACCCATGGCTCAGCAGTGCTGACAACAGTTCTGTCCACACTGTCAGCCTTAAAAAAACAGTTACAAATGCCTTCAGTTCGGCTTGTTGTGGCTCTGTATGGCACGTTAATAAAAAGAATTGTGCTTGACATGCTGCTGTGCTACAGAAGATGGCACTAAAGATATTTAAATGTTGGGAATGGGTACTGCTACCTCAGGAGGCACAGCTTGAAGCAAGGAGGATTAAAACATTTTCTTCTCTAGCTGTTTTTACATGCAAATATTTTAAAACTAATTAAATAAGAAATAAAATGGCAATTAAAAGACTGAAGTAATAGTTTCATCTCATATTACATAGTAAATTTTATTATCTTATCAATTAGTGATTAGTGTTCTGTTCTGTTACACACTACTGCCAAACATGTCAGAGAACGCAGCATATTAACAAGCAAGAACTGGTGACAGGAAGAATTATTATTATTTCTAGTTTGTAGGAAGACTTAATATGACTTCTAGTTTGTAGGAATGGAGCCACAGGAAGACTTAGTATCTTGTCCTAGATTATATGGTTCTGAGAATAGCACTGAGACTCTAGGCTGGTGTTTAAGCCACCAGAACTGGCTTCCTCTCCAAAATCCTTTGGGAACTGTGGGAAGTCTCCTAATACAACAACAAAAATCTGAATGTTCTGGGGTACGTAGCAGTGAAACACCTTCTGGTTATGTTCATGGAAGCAAAAGCTCCATATGAGATGTATTAGAGGAAGAACTATAACTGTACAAGCCAGGCATCTGTTAGGAGGAAGAATAAAAAAGAAAGACACAGGATATGCAGGATCCTAACAGGAATTATACCTGCTATCATTCTGTCATGGTGTGATGCTACTCTTTTTTCCACACTACAGGCAGAAATATGGAATAAAAATATTGAAATACAGTCATTCCTGCCACAAGCCTGGCAGAAAGCTAACTGAGCTGAAAAAACCCATCAAAATGCAGAGTTCAAATAGTTCTCTGCTGAGTTAATGTGTTAAATCAACTAATACAAAAGTTGAGGGAAGATTGTGTTGGAGCAGGGGAGAAGATGGCCAGTAGGTCAGAA